GAATGTGAAGGCTGAGTTTGAAAGGAAAAGGTCAACAACAATGATCCCATATTGAGTCGCAAACAATGAAACATGATTTCTGTTTGTGGGCCAGGAATGATTTTAAATTGAGTCGACGCGACATGAGTGAAATATCTAGGAAAAGTTGAAGTTGATAGTCTTTTTTTAAAATAATGTCTTTACAAGTTTTTCTGGTTAGGGGTTCTAGAGATTATTTTTCTTATTTTTACATCCCTTTATTGGTTTAGCTGTTAAATGTATGTTACATTTAATTTTAAAAATGTTTGCTTTCACAGCTCTAAGAATCCAAATGTTACTTTTTAGTCGAGGGCAAAAGGAATAAGTAGAAGCAAAGTCCAAAGTTTTAAAAATGTTTTTAGCGAGTTTTATTTAGTTCTTGTGTAAAAGCACATTAAAGCTGCAGTATTTGGCTTTTATAAACAATATTTTTTTTTTTAATTGCTAAAACTGTCACTATGTTGTGACAGTATAAAATGAAACGGAGTCTGTAAAAAAATTCCAGCTATTCTGCCTCCTCCCTGTGGTCCGACTGCAGAAATGCACCACTTACGGTATGAAACAACCAATCAGAGCCAGGAGAAGGGTCTTAGCGCTGTCAATCAAGCTCGTATATTTGCTGTTCATCCCTGCCCCGTTGATATGTAGCTTTTTTATAACAACTGGAGGTAACATAGTTACTTGATTATGCTACAATTTGGCACAATGCTACTGGAAAACGCATGATACTGCCCCTTTAATGTCTTTCCAAAATCCTCATTGTGTAACCATTAGAACATGATTATTTACACATAACTCTATGTATAATGTATAATCAAATGGACTATAATATCTGAAATATTCCAATCTTTCTGTTCCAGCCAGCTGCCCAACACATCTTGCACAACACTTCTGTTAGGAGCGTCCTATCAGCACTTCTTAGTCACCTCCCTGCGCCTCTGTGTGAAGATAATTACACGACACTCCACACTAAGATTACACAGAACCCGCGACCGAACAGTTTCAGTGCCACCTTGATCAAATAATAAACCGACCTGTGTCGCATGTTAGCACTTCGCCCTCTCTGATCTCTGGACCTCTCACACCCCCCAAAAAACCTCTCCCGGATTACTTTAAGCCACTCGGAACGTGGAGTCCTACAGAAACCATTAGACGTAGGTGATCATTTGGATGAGGTAATCTTATATGAATATATGAATATCTTCCCGCGGCTGCCGCCTGACAGCAATTAGAGCTTCACTCTCCCCCCTCCCCAACTGGAAGAGGATCAGCCCTGCCGTGTGCTTTCTTTTTCTTTTTGATTGTAAGGCTTTGAACAAAATCCACAGCACGTGGCCTCTGCCGCTGTTTCAACACTGAAAGGCAACGGTTGGGGTTTGTCTTTTTTTCCCCCCACTCCACTGCCTGCAGTCTTATCTCGGTAAGGTGTTCGGTGTGACTATCAAAGCACGCTATCATTTTCTGTTAAACTTAAGCTCAAACATGTTCACTTGTCACCTGGGTTATTGATAATATATCCTCAGGCCTCGCTGAGGTTTATTTCCCTGTTTAATCTGTATGCGGGCCAGAGGGGTAACTCGGGAGGAGTTTCTCTCTGATTGATTTCCACGTCGAGCATCACATGGCGTAAAGGAGGAAAGCCCATGGTAACCCAATAACTTCCTCCCCTCAGCAAATGTCGGTAACTGCGTTATGTAATGGTGATGGAGGATTGCTTTGAGAGTCAGTGGCCTAGTTAAGGCAACTTGAATTATGCCGGAAACCTCGTTCCCTTGCTTTTTCTCCGTATTGTTTTCCAACATAAAAGGTTTCTTTTCTTCTTTTTTTTTAACACTGAGAAAAATCAAGCCGTTTGTACTTTATCTTTGGACTTGCCTCGACTTTACAGAGATGTGCATTAGAGCCTTATCAGTGGAGAAAGTCCAATCTCTGTTCAGTGAGAGCGTTTAGAAACGTGCCTCTTGACATTTCCATCCCCATTAGAAAAAGGGGTTTCTCCCTCTCTCTCTTCTTTTCCTTTGCTGGCTCACTCGTTGGTTCTTGTACTTTTTGATTTATTACTGGAATAACTAAACGTTGATTTTTGGAGAAATGCTCTTTAATGCAAATGCAGAAAGGGGTTTTTATGACTAGATTTGCATAAAACGTTAACTTGAGCCAAAAAAAATAAAATAAAAAACGGCTTAGAAAAATTCAGCTTATGTTGAGGAGTTTAAGGAACCCTGTGACTCAGGTCATCTTTTAAGCCGTCTTCATTGTTTTCTCCGACATAAATCTCTGGATTTTAGGTATGACTATGGCTCAGCGGGTAGAGTAGCCGTCCTTTAACCAGAGGTTTGTGGGATCGATTCCTGCTTCCACTTGTTACATGCCAAAGTGCCGCATGGCAAAGCACTTAAATCCAGGTTTCCTACCTCTGTGCATTTTCTGCATATTTGTGAATGATTGTGTGTGTGGGTGTGTGTGTGTGTGTGCATGTGCGCGCGTGTGTGTGTTTGAGAGTGCAATTTGGGGAACTTGACTCAAATGTGAAGTTCTTTGAGTGGGTAGGAATGACTAGAAAAGTTATATATATATGTGAGAAATATACTTTCTCACACAGACTGCTTCAGCTCCATTGTCGCAGGGACAGATACAGGAAATCTTTCCTGCCACAGGCTATCACTTTATATAACAAACGTTAAGTTACCTTTGTACATATCTGCTCATTAATCGATATTGTACAGATTGTTTACAAAGCACTATTGTACAGACTGTACAGATTATTAATTTTCACTGTTCATACTGTACAGAATCTTACATCTTACATTTTATATTTTATGCATTTATCTTTATTTTTATATTGTAATTGATCTGTGTGTATGTGTATGCTGCAACTGCACAGTAATTTCCCGGTTGGGATGAATAAAGTACTTCTATCTATCTATTATATATATATATATATATATATATATATATATATATATATATATATATATATATATATATTTCATTTCTTGGTTGGGGGATAAAATGAAAGTATAACTTCTTTTAACTTTTTCAATGACTGGAAGCTTATGAAAGGATCTAATCCACTGTCTACGTTCTACAGGGATGGTATGCCCTGGACAGATTACCAGTCTATCAAAGAGCAACACTAAGGCTACATTCACATGGCACAACTAGATGCTCAATTCCAGTTGTTTTGCTGAAATGACTAATTAAATACTACAGCAATCAGAACTCTGTGTGAACGATTTAAGATGCCAAAGCGGCCAGAACTCCATGCTGATTGGCCCTGACTCAGATTCAAACTCAGGACTGCAATGCAACAATGCTACCAACTGGACCCACCTGAACTGGAGCGTTAACGCAAAGCCAGGCAGGAAAGACACAAGCAATGACTTTAAGGACATAAATGCTGCTGCCCCTGCGTCTGTAAAACATCCATTCCCAAACAATCTGAAGCACTTTGTTCTACTGGGAGAAAGAGCATTCACATGTGGAAAACGTGAAAGACCGTTATTAGTGGTGATTCCAACAACCACAAGACTTTTAGAATAAAGACTTGGTGGTTGATGAGACAGGAGTCTAGGAACTCCTCTGTACACAAACATTTTCACTTGTCAAATGGGAGCAAACTTTGGCTGAAACTAGGTCAGGTACTGGATGAAGCCGTGTTGTATAAATAATGGTGGTCAGAATTCCTCCACAATTAAATAAGAGACTAAAGCTGTGCAGATAATGACTACTTTAAAGTAATGTTGCCACAAAGTACTGAATCATAGGTTGCTCCTGATTTTTCACAGATGGCTTTTCCACTTTTGCGTCACCTTTGCTTAATAAATAATGACAATGTGGATTTTATTGTGTTCCTTTGTCCACTTCAGGGGAAATTTTTATAATCTTGAGCCTGGTAATGACAAGGTGGGACATGTATGGAGCTAAATTGGGGCCAGTTTCAAACTTTCTTTCTTTTTTTTACCACTTTCAAAATAATTTTTCAGTCAGATCTTTTTATTTAGTTTCAAATCTTCTTTTTTCAGTTTCAAAATAATGCTTCAGTTACAAATATTTTTTGATTTAACAAACTTTATGGCCCCAATTTAGCTCCATATTGGGACTAACAGGCAGCAGAGGTGTAGCTTTGGGTGGATGTTGAAAAGCTCTCAGACTTGGATGTGCTTTATAATGTTATTGCTAAATAACAGTCACAAAAATTCACAAGGAGCTCAGAAGAAAAATTACATTAATATTTAATATTTTCAGAGTTTAAACAATTGGGTGAAGTGGTCTATTGATCTTTGAAGGTGTTTCTTTAATTGAAAACAGTTTTTCATTCTACATTCAGACATGGAGAGACCTTTCCAGTGGCAGATATTCACATATTTTATGTTTCTTAACCTTTCTCTAGGGCTCTCCAGGGAAGCAAAGGAGCCATAAGCAGTTGCGAACTTTGCTTTGCTTCTCTGTCATAGGAAAAGTTTTTTTATTGCTTTAAATTTATTTACTTTTTTTGGTCTTGCAGCTTTGGCATGTGTCTGGGGAGCCAAAGCTGTTTTATTTTCAGTGATAAATAGTTGGCTACCACTCTTCTACAGACCCAGGAGTTGGATGACCACAGCTGTGTGACATAAAACTAAAAGCACCTCATATAAAAGTCAAATATAGTTTGATTTGTAAAGCAATAAACTAGACCTTGTCAGAATTTTTTTGGTTTCCGACAGAACTCAAAATGTTACTATGACTTACTATTACTTCAGTTTTTTTTATTTGTTTTTTTTCCCCCCTGGAGATAAAAATCCAAAAAAGTTTGTTACCTACGTCAACAAGAAATGAACCAATCTGCTAAATGCTTAACAAGTACTTTTACCCTGATTAAATAAGGTTTTATGGTAATGTCATTTATACTAAACCAGTACCACCTGTTGATTGTCAAGAAAATTAGAAATAAATACTTTGTTTTTTTAATGTTTTTTTTTATTTTTTTATTTTGTCTTTAGATGCCGATGACTCTGGCTGTGTGTTACTGAACACATCAAGACGGGTAAGCAAACATATTTATGCAGTCCATATGGGGATCAAAAATCTTTGACAATATTCAGATAAGTAGTGCAGCCACAAATGTTTAGCAACTTTATTTAAACCAGAGATGAACAGAAAATAGGAGCAACCATTTACATGTTGAACAATGAAACTTCAAAACACTGAAGCATTTTAAATCCTCACTATCCAGCACCTTGTGAAGTATTCACATCCCAGAAAGTTCTCCACTTTCTGGGATGTGATGTCTCATTACAGTCACAGATTTAATGTTTTATTGGAATTTTAGTGGAATAAAAATCATATATGATGTTCAAATAATATCCAGAACTTAGATTGGAGAATCTGCCAAGAGCCGTTAAAGCTCTTGTTGAAAGAAACTCGAGCAAAGTCTCTTTTTGCGTTTGTAGAAGTGGTGGGACTTGATTAAAGTCCTTAATCAAATAAATCGCGAGGTATGTATAATTAATCTCAATTAAGTGGAATATAATCAAAAGCATATATTGATAAAATGAGCAACATTTTCAATTCAGAAACCATTTTCGTGGCTTAATTATTGAATAAATAGAAATATGAGCTCAACAAAGATATTTATTGTTGTTTACCAATATTTAAGGTTTTCAACCATCAGAATGGTGCAAAGTGTTATTTTACCATTCGGCTTTGTACGCTGACATTAGCTCTGGATGACTGTGTCGCTGTTGCATGTTTAGCTTTGAGATGCTATTTTAGGCTTGAATAGCTTCACTAATAGGCTAGCTCCTTTTAACACAACATAAATGCAACAACGGTCTTTTCCAGCATCCAATCAGATCGTCAGTCTCTGCAGAATAAAATGTCCCATTTTTGACTGTATTTGTATTTTTTTATTGTACGTTAGCTTTTTTTTTTTAAACTATCAAGCCCAAAGAGAGGAACTGGAACTCACCAAAATTGGCACAGTGAAGGTTGGTGCTAAAAAAAAAAAAAAATTGGAATCATTTGGGAAACCTACAGCGAGTGTGTTTATGCATTATCACTTTCAATGTCCAGTGGGAACAAGAAGCTGCCTTGCTGCACTCGATAACGCTCCATAACATTTGGAGACATTGCTGTTTAAAATTCAAATAATTGCTCAATGAATATGTGAGTGGATTGCTAAATATATATGCACAGTCTATCCAAGAATTTACTCTGGGCACTGAAACACGGGTTCCTCATCATTTCTGCTGAATTCAAACCACTTTTCTACCACTGGCATGGCGTGACCTTTACCACAACTATATGCTGCCTCACTTTTTGGGAAGATGAGGAAAATGTATTCTCTCGATCTCTTCCGCGACTTGCTTCTTCTCGTGTTTTACTCCGCTCTCATCCCTCAAGGTTGCTAAAACAAATCATTCCAGCGGGCCTGCACTGTGTGATGTGCCAAAACTGTAGACACATTATGATTTTTTTTTTCAGCGTTTTATTCATGCCGCGAGATGCACTTCTGATTCTACGAATGAAAATATGTATTGCTTTTCTCCCCCGAGACGGATGAATTTCAGATTAGTTTTGTTGCCACACCCAAGTACTTCGCAGACTTCTTTGCAGTGTACCAAACCTATGTTTCATTGTGTCACACTTCAGACAAAATACAGCTTAAAGTGGCGAACAAGCATGTCATGATACTTCTCCATTACAAGGCTGTCAGTGATTTCAGTTTGCGGCACCAACAGCTTGCCTGGTCCTTTTTACTAATCCCTCCATTCTGTGCCACAGTTCTGTGTGTTTGCTCTCTCCTTCTGTTTTCCCCCCTTTAATCAGCCTCACATGGCAACAACCACACATTACCTCTAGAACTGTGATACACGTTAGCCCATTTAAAGTGGTCAGAATAAATTTGGTAATTGCACGTTTATGTACGTGGATGTTCGCGTCAAAAGGCTAATTTGAATTCGAACAGATTTGAAATGTGTGACTTTGTTCAGTTGGACCAAAGATTTAAATTAAATCAAATTAAATTGAACTTCTTAAAATGACAGTGTTATGTTAAATCAACATTTTTTTAGCTGTAGGTTATATTATATTAGTCCATTAAAATTTCAAATTTTAAGTCATTTGAAATCTATGGCATTTTTTTTTAACAATTGAAGGTAAAATAGTTAAGTTGTGCCTGGAGAACACATAGGACTGTCCCTTTAAATCTTCTGGAAGGGCTGTAGATTTGTACAAGAATATGGCTCCTATCTTCCTTAAAGTTGCAGTAACCAGCCTTAAAAATGAGATGTATTTTTTAAAAATGTTTTTTACAAATTTGTTAAAACTGTCACCATGTTGAGACAGTAGGAGAGAGAGAAGTGGAAAAAAAAACATTTTCTCCACCTCTTCCCTGTGCTGCTATTGCGATTTGCACAGTTCTCATCCAAAAACAACCAATCAGAGCAAGGAGGAGAGTCTGTCAATCTGTCAATCAATCTCATGAACGTGCTGCTAAAAAAAACAACTTAACATTACAGGAAAACTGTTTATTTGCCATCATCACTGACCATGCCACCTAGTCTTATCATTCACAACAAACTCTGCTGATGGGCAGCACTAAGACCCGCCTCCTGGCTCTGATTGGTTGTTTCTAGTTAGGACTGGGAGAAGGCAGTGGAACTCAATTTATTTTTAATTTTTTTACTGATCTCTCTCATACCATGCTGTCGTGACATAGCAGTTTCAACAAATATGTTTTAAAAAAATTCTTTATAAAAGTTACATACTGCTGCTTTAACATAATTCTACTGATGAACAGACATAAACAAACAGGATGTAAAGGTAAACTCAGGTTAATTCATTCCTAAAGCCTTAAATCACTTCAGTGACCTGAAAAATAACCAAAGCCCCAGCTACCGTAAAAAAACATATTTCTGTTCTTAAAGTTCTTTACGGAAATAACTCAACAAACTATAGACTTTCCTTTTTCATGCTTGTCTTATTTTAAAAAGAACAGCAGGAGCTCCACTTATCTTTAGAATTTCTGTCTACCCCACAATCAAAGGAGCCGGGGTCTGCAGAGTGTCTGGGCTTTTAATCTAGCTGCTCTCGTCCTCCTGTTCATTCACCCATCTGCATGTTATTCTGCACTCCTTCAATCCGAATCCACCAGAAGAATGAAGTGGTTCTTATCGATGTTCAGCTGGTTTGTGGGAGGATGTGGATTATTACTATAAACTGACATTTACAGTTTTGTTGTTGTTGTTTTTTCATTTTTTGTGGAGGTTTAACATTTTGACTAAAAAATGTCATTCTGTTAAAATAACGACTTAAAATTTCCATTGAATTACATTAACTCGACTTAAACTATGATTTAGTTTAAGTAAACAATTTTCTGATGTAGATGAAGGAGGGAGTGACTTTGTGGTAAACTATGAAGAGCTAAAACTCTACCTGTTTAAATTTTAATTTTCTTAACAATAGGTGGAATAAACTGACTTAATCAAGACCATCCCATGTTTGATAGGAACAATCTATGAATTTACCACTACCTTGCCTCTATTTCTAGCTTAGCTGAAATTTTTCATGAAATTTTGAATTTGCCCTTAAATCTTTTGTAAAGACTGCATCAGCAGAACGGTTAGGACAAAAATCCAGTTAAGAGGGTCATGTAAGAGTCGGTGTATTGAAAAGGGGTTCGGGTTAGAGTCAAATACTGAAGTTACATTAACAGATAGTTTGTCATTTATAATATGTCCTCAGTAGTATTTCTACTCCTAGAATATGTTCACACCTTATTTATGATGCTCTGACTTCATTCCAAATTTTACAAAAGGGGATCGGCTTATTTTTCATGAGGTCAGTTTTTTTTTTTTTTTTTTTTTGCTGTTCAGTTTTATTCAACACGTAATCGTTGACCGTGGTTTTAAGATGGTAGTTAAACAATCCAATCTCATCCACAGTATGTGAAGCTCATGAACTTCGAGGAGGAGGTTCGGGCACACCGGGACTTGGATGGCTTCTTGGCGAGGGCTAGCATATTGTTGGATGAGACAGCCGCCTCCCTGGACGACGTCCTCAAGAGAATGTTGCACCACGTAGGCGAGGACAGCCACGTGTCCGAGCCCGGGTGTAACTTTGAAGAGGTGATGAGCATGCTTTTCACAGATGCAGGAGCTCAAGAGGTCAACGGTAAGCAAGAATCCCACACCTGAGCGTTAACCATGCGAGACAAAACACAAACTGCAAGGAGAAGTCAGTGAACTTGAAAACGAGTCCCGATCAGACTCATTTGTCAGATTAAAAGCTGTTAAACATACTTTTTTGTATTAAAAATAGTTTATTGGTCTGATGTAATATAATATTGTGTAAAACCTATTTTGTTGTTTTATAATATTACAGAAAAAGAAGCCTTATGACAAGGAAAATGTTTGAGCTCAGACAAATGGAAGTCTTTTTTTTTCTTACATTTTGGAAAAAATCGTTAGTATGCTCAAAATATTTTCACATTAACATTTTTGAGCTGTACATGTGATACAAACAGAAATAAGAAACATGTTCAAGAAATGTTTTCAGCCTGATTTCCATGACTAGTTGCATAATATTAAGGTTATGTTGTTCTGTGTGTGAGAGGAGTTGCTCTGAATTCTAGTAATATTTTGAGATCAGAACATTGTCATTCATAGCTAAGATTTTAAACTGACGTTAGCATCTTGTATAAATGACTGTTAGCATGGCTAGCATTAAAGAAACAGCAACACAGATGTTTAAAACTCTGATAAAACAGAGCAAATTTTTTACTTTACTGTGTGGCAGCTAACAAAACTGTTGTCAAATGTCAAAGTGAGACTCAACAGATTTACTTTCACATTTGGAGCATCACAGCTTTTGCCATAATATATTGTATAAATAATTGTATAATAATTGATAATTGTATAAAATAATACATATACATATATATAACTTTTTTGGAAAATGCTTTGCTTATATCAAATGTTATGGCTACAGAGATGGAACATAAAGGGAGACTGGTGGGGAAAATGTTCAAAGGGAAAGAAAGAGACGGGAGTAGAGGAAATAAAACAAGTCAACACCCTTGAAGTCTGCTTCTAACCCTACAAAAAGAGAGAGAGAAAATGCATATAAAACAATAACAAATCCATCACTGAAAAGTACATTATACAAGTTCATTCAAGGCAACCTCAGCTCAAAGTAGAATCTGAAACAAATGAATCAGGACAACTTTGTTCTCCATTCAGCCTTCCTGTTACCTACTGAAAGTCTTGTTTTTTCTCACAGCTTGAATAAACACCATATAGATCTTGAAATGTTGGAAAAACTAGTTTTCTTTAAACTGCTTTACATCTCTGTGCTTCTCGTGCCCTGCACTGAAATATTTGATCCTGTCAGTATCAAACAAACCTGAAACTGTAACTGGAATAGACATATGGGTCATATCGTTGGCATTTCTTTATTTACTAGTTCCACAGCATCCAAACAAGATTTTGGTCATAAAACAAATTATGTCCACAGACAACTGAACCAAGAAGCAGTACCTAACCCTCCAGGGTCTGCAGTGGTACAACTTAACTATTCTTTAACTATTCCAGGCCAAAGCCTTTTACTGCAGGCTCACAGTTCTGGCTAGAAAAAATGAATTGACACAATAGTTCCTCCTGCTTTGCTGCCCTCTTTCCCTTCTAAATCCCTTTACCATTAGTGTATTTCCTTCAACACTGGTTGTTTTTTTTTTTTTCCCCCGACTGAGAGGCAAGCAAGGTACCGTCGCGTTTGGACAAATCTCCTCAGCCTATTAGAGCAAGAGAAAAACAACCTGCTGCATAACAGTATGGATCCATTTTTGATACATTTCCATCATAAAAGAAGTCAAGGAAACGTTTGCTTTAAAAAAATAATTTTGTAAGGAAGAAGTTAAATATATACATATATCTATTTTTGTCTATAGAATTTCTGCTACAGTCCAGTGTTTCTGTACTTGATGAGCATCAGGCGGTAACATTAGTCTGCAACCTGCTCTTTGACCAGAGTTTTTCCGGTCTGGCTGCTCTGGTGTCCACAGCTGTGTTCGTTAGTCTGAGGTGGTTTGTGTGCGATGCTCGCCCTGCACCGCAGGCCGCCACACATTCACAAGGTGATAATTGACTTCTGTCATCAATCACTCACGTAGCTTTTCAAATGGCTTTCTGAGGCTCTGAGGCTGTGGCAGCAGCTGCTGCTGGCCTGTTCTGTCCCAGAATACCCCACAAGGAGCCTGTTTTTGGGTCAGTGAAAAAGGGTTTGCTACGTCTGTTGGTCGGATGCTTGGAGCTACTCTAAAAATTAATATAGGAGGACATTAAAAACATTCCTGATCACAGCATTAAAGGGACAGGATTAAGTAAAATCAGCATTTTAGCGCTTTACATCATGTTATATTATTCCCTCAACAAAACCATACCTGCTTGCTTTGATTCTTTCACATATGTTTGAGAAACCTTTAATCTCCATGGCAACCATTCAGCTGTGCAAAATTCCTGGGTGGATCTAGCTCTGCCTTCAAGGATGAAGCTCCCCCTGCTCTTAAGTTCAGTTTCCAAGCTTCAGAGCTTCCACAGAGCAGCCCTCCTCCACTCAGCTCCTTCAGACTAGCCAGCAGCAATTAGCAAACTCCTGGTGGAACTACAAATCTGCTGAACTCATTATAGGAGCTACTTCTCAGTGCAATACTGATAAAAATGTTGTTAAAGGGTTAATGGAGAAGCCATGTTGAGATAACTTCCAGAAGGCGAAGTTTCAGAAAGAGTAGGATTTTCCTAAAGAGACAGAGGCACGATTTCAATTTTAAATTGCAAAGTAACATTTCTTTTACGTCATATTTGATATATACAACATTTCTGTAATGACTTAAGTTAACATAGTTACTTTATTGTGCTATAAAATGGTGTTATATGCCTGGAAAACACAATATTGCCCCTGTAATAGTAAGATTGAAGACGTTCCACACCAGGCATCAGAACATTTCTCAAAGGTCCTTAAAATATTTCAATAATAACATCTTAAGACTACACTCACACATAAAACATAAACATGCAATGCTGTTAACATTCTGGGCATGGCATTACTAATCATTACGTAAAAAAGATTTTCATTTCAAAAGCGCAGCAAAGTCAATATGACTCATAATGAATAATTAAAGCTACTAAATAATCCTAAAGTGATTCATAGTGTTTACATAAAGAAACCCGGTTTATGTGCCTGGAGCTTAGAGAACCTCAAGGCCTCTGCCCTGGATGCACTAAATGGAAAGTTTCATGACTTGAGAAGAAAATAAAAATGTTAAACTGTTGCATATTTAGTCATCTTCATACTTTGATTAAAGTAATTATAAAAAAAACTGTTTTTATGTTAACAGTTTGTTTAAAAAAAAAGTCATAATTTGTGTAAACTTTTAATTGGATTGAAATTTCGTTAATGTTATTGAACTGTTCCACTGACATCCCTACTCAAATATTGATTAAAGTCTTCCAAAATAACATTTATAATAAAATACTGTATTATTTTTTTTACAAACTTAAATCAATTGGAAAAAAATAACAAGAGGAACAATAGTGGCATGTTGTTTTCAATATGATCCCAAATAAAGGTATATACACAGCTACAAAAAAGTATTTACCCCCTTTTTATATTTAAACTGCTTTTTGTATTTGTCTTAATTTAATCTATAAATATTATTTCATGATCTGAAACTTTTAAGTGTTTCAAAAATTCATAAGTTAGTGTTGGTCAAACCTTCTTACAAGAGATCATCATGAATTTTCACTCTAATGGAAATGATAAAGCACTGTTTAAATCAGCTGCAGAGTGAGTTATCATGCTGGGTGGATGCATTAGCATGAGGAGCAAGAAAATATCACTTTTAAGCTGCGAAAAAGCTACAAAATGCATTTAATTACATTTAAAAATACCGTTAAGGCATCAAAATGACACCGTTACTGAAAACTTCCAACAAGTCTGCTGATTTCAGATATTTTTAATTAAGTTCAGCATACTAATTATTTAATAAAGATCCCACTCATTAATATCCTGTTCAGGAGTCCGTTCCCTTCAGTCTGAATTCCCAGATATCAGGAAAGATTCCTGAATCCGTCTTTTTCCCTTTTTTTTTTTTTTTTTGGGTGGGGGGGGGACGTTCTTGGGGAGGAACAAAGACCCTTGCTGTGGGAATAAGTTTATATCACACCCCGAGTACGCTATCAACAAGCCATATCTCTGGAGGTATTAATTTCTGCCGTATCTGGGCTCCCTCCGCCACAGTGGGGTATTACAGCTGGCGAGCGGGCCAGCTCATTTGCGGCTGTAATACTGTACAGCTGTGAGATAAAGCGAACAGGGGAAGATTATAACGTTCCCTGAAAAAAGGGGAGAATTACATAAAATGAAAAAGATGAAAGCCCAGAGAGATAATTAGTCCTGCTCTGACATGTAGAGAGGAGTTTGGTTTTGGAAGCCAGCATGCTGTTTTTGGCTCCACTTTTGTCTTGGGATTCAGCATTAAGGAAGGAAGAGTGCGTGCATTGTGTTGAGGAATAATGCCAGCCATGCTTATGATGATGCAATGCTTGGATAAGGGTTTTCACTTTAGACATTTGAACAACCATCTAAGTGAAACTGGCATCATCTTCTGACATGTAATATTTAAAGCAGTGAATGATTTGGGGACTAAATATGCCTGAGCACGTACTGGTACAGTGGTTGCTGAATGACTAATAGGTAATGTTGTGATTAAAGGTGTATTGTGTAATTACATTTTCCTCTCTTCCTCTATGGTTTTGTAAGGAGTTGGAGTTTTCTCTGTTAGGTGCACCAATGACGTTGCTCTGGTTCTGGTTACTGTCCCTTCATTTCAACAGAAAATGTTGGAGATATTATTTCTGACTCTCCAATTTACCTGTATTTATGTAATCTTCCGTTTTTTCTTCTTTTGGTTTTGCTTTTTCAAATTATGATACAAAAAAAATTGTTAGCTGTAAAATAAAATAAAAACTAATTTCTTCTTTCAAAACAAGTCTGTTGTCAAAACACATTACTATTATTTTTAGTTTAGCCATCATGTAATTATTTGTAAAACTGCTTGAGTTGTTTGTTAATTTCTACTAAGACAAGGGTTTAAATAAAGCTGTGGACTTTAACTA